GGGGGGGGGAAGGGGAGAGAGAGGGAGGGAGAGAAACAATGATTGGTTGCCTTCCTTATGTGCCCCGACCAGGGATCAAACCCACAACCTAGGTAGGTGCCTTGACCAGGAATCAAGCCTGCAGCCTTTTTGGTGTACAGGATGATGCTCCAACCGAGCCACCCGACCAGGGTCATGTGTTTTTTTTTAAGCTTTAAAATATCCAAATAGCTCTTCATGTATTTTGTTTGTTTCTTCCATGACACCGGTACTTCCCATTGGTCAAAGTTCTTGATGATTAATGTGTATTTCTGTCCTGGAAATGTGTTTATTAAGAACCCATCAGAAATTCAGATATACCTCTTACTGGAGACGAAAGAGAAAATTTTAAAAATTATAAATGATTATTGAACACTTTGATTTGGGGAGAAATTGGCAAGTTAACAGAATTTCAGTTTATAATTTATAATTGATGCGGCAAGTCAGTGGTGGTGGTGCAGCCACCTCCTAGGTGAGCGAGGGGAATGAGCAAGGCATAGAAATCCGTATGAACGCTGCTTCCTAGGGCTGTTCATCCCACGTGTCCTCGTACGAGCAGTTCTCTTAATTTGGGAAAGAGCAAGGCATGTTCATGGACTGGTGAGGGTCCCATCATGTAATAATTGGTGCACCAAAACAGTTGTTTGACAGTCCTTGTGTTTGCTCTTTTTGGAGCCGTACTAAGAAGGGAAGCTGCAGCTGTGCCATCATTTCTGCACAGGTTTTTTTTGGCTGTATTTTTTTTAAGCCCATGTGCATTTTCATGATTGGTTATAGTTTTGTATGTGTGTGCGTGGCAGCACTTGGGGGGTGGGGGGTGTCCATAAGGCTCCTATCACTTGACTGCCAACTTAGCTGAGCTCACATGTCCTTGTTTATGTGTTTGCCAGGGAGAAATGCCTGCTGCCTCTCCAGTTGGCTTTGGAATCCAAGAACGTGAAGCTGGCCCAACATGCCTTGGCAGGGATGCAGGTATGGCTGTCCCTGAGTGCATTGGGGATGACAGAAATTGACAGGCTGCTTTGGCATGGAAAGAGCAAATAGTTAATATTTTAAGTATTAGCTGTTTAAAGACCCAGGCAGAATTTGGATTGAACTAGGTAATAACCATAGAGGATAACACGATTTTTAAAAATATTTATCAACATTTCTCTGTGCGCCGCATTATCTTATTGATCCTTTGTCCTCACACACTGATTCATGGGACCCAGCTAAGCCCACACAGAAATGAAATATTTTATGTGATATCTAACTTTTAGGGGAATAAGGGATCCCAAGAGAGACACCTCAAGTTCCATACAACTCAGAACTTGTATATGCTCAACATCTGTGGTTCTGTGTCATGGAAATTGATGGTAAACCTGAAACATTCTGTTTTGTTTCCTACTCTACACTTAGTTTGAGAAATGTGTTAATGTGTTTTAGTTTCAGAGCAAGATTGGGAAGAAAAGGTAAATTTGGTCTAATAAGAAAAGTTAGATTGCTTGAGCACATTTCCTTCTCTGAGCATTTGTTCGTTTGTGTTTTACACATTGCATAATAGATCTCGTTCCAGCAGTGCGAGGGAGCTGGCTGTCTAAATACATTGACTTTTTAAGTGGTTTATGTTCTAAGTGACAAGCACTGTGAAGTTCAAGCCTGCGGGGGTTACTAGCATGGCCGTAGATCAGCAGCATTTGTAGGATGTCTTTTCACATCAGTATGTACAATTTCATTGGTAGCTCCTAAGTTCAGAGCGGTCCCTAATGACTTTTGAGTTAACACATAAAAAAGTAAGAAACGTATGCTTCTTTTTACCCCCAGTGGATTGGAATTAGGTAAAGTATGTTTTAATATACAATAGCATTAGAAAATTTTAAACATCGTCCATAATGTTATGAAAAACTTTGCTTTTCTCCAAGGTGACTGGGCCAATGATAAAAATGAATGGGAAGTTGTTTTGACCTGCCAGTGATGTTCCTTTTTCTCAAGTCTTGCATAAATTTTCCATTTAGTTACTTTGGGCTTACTTACTTTTGATAACATCAACGATGTGGTAGGCAATGAGCTTTCTCTGACCATTTCTTTTTACCTCCCAATAACTCTAGGCATTTTTCACGGCTTCCTAGTCTTTATCACTGTAATTAATAATGGGTTTGTATATTAACTTTAACTCCGGGCTGCCCTGCATGCACTAGATGATAGTGAAAAAATCTCTGTCCAGAGAATATAGGCAAAATGTCAGAGAGTCCCGAGAAGATTCTCCTGATCTGCAGTGGCATTCAGCTAAAAGAGGGCTGAATCCGAATCCAAAAGTTCATCACAGCAGCTACTCTACACTGAATTGGCCAAGGACAGATTGAACAGGGATTAATATAAAGCCCTTCACTGGGTTTCAAGGATTCCACTGCCCCGGGACAGGATGGAGGGAGAACAGCTTAACATGAGCCGTTATGAGTGAGAATTAGGGGTTTCTGGGTGAGTCAGCACAGAATATGCCATGACTTACAGCTAAGCTAAGTTGACCTGAGAATGTGATTAAAGCTACGAATTACTGTTTGTTTGTTTGTTTGTTTGTAGGCAGCAAACACATTCAATTATTTTACATGACTAGAATCCTAGAGGTGGGCCATTTGGGGTTTGGTGCCCGCAGCTGGGTGGACCCACCAAAGACCCCATTTCTTTCTCTTATTTTCCTCTGCCATCTTTTTATTTGTTATTATCTTTAAAAGACTTTATTATTTTAGAGCAGTTTTAGGTTTACAATAAAGTTGAGAGGAAGGTGCAGAGAATTCCCATGTACCTCTGCCCCCACACACGCATAGCCTCCCCGTCATCAACATCACTCACCAGAGTGGCACATGGTCTTTTTTACCCAAGGAGGAGCCTACATTGACACATCCTCGCCACCCACAGTCCACAGTTCACCGTAGAGGTAAACCCCTCTTTCGTGTCAGGCCACCCTTGAAGGCTACGTTCCCGCTGGAGGTAAGCAGGAGAGCACCTGTGAAGCTGTGTCACTGAAGGTGCCCAAGGAGTTTAGTGTGGAGGAGAAAAGACGTGGGTGGATGTCACAGCTGACTGTAGATATTTTAGAAGCTTCATCCATGTGGCTCCGGGGAAGGATGGGGGAGCAGAAGCTGCGGGCATGTGGATTTGGGTACAGTCTAAGGAAGGATTTCATGAAAAGCAGGAGTTTTCCTGAACAAGGAAAGGGATGTCCTGTGGGGGGTAACAGCTCCTGGAAAACCTGGTGAAAGTGCGTGTCTTCTTTAGGTTTTTGTAGGACTTGTTTTCTGGTGAATATACATTAAGATTTGTGGATTCATGAGAAATTCCTGGGTAAATGACAGGTCACAGTGGTAAGTGGAAAGGTAAACATCTGAGAAAAGGGACTTGTCTACAAGACCCCTCCTTCCCTGGGACGAGCTCCATTCAGAAAGAGCCTGTGTGAGCTCGACCGTTGGAGGGATGGATTCCCCTCTGCACGCTCGTCCTGCACCTCCGTCACCCAAAGAACCTTTATGCCACTTGTTAGAATGTCACTTGATAAAATTTGTAATGAATTATCTATTAGCAGAAAAAAGACTTGGCCCAAAAACTGTTTACCAAAGATTTGGTGCATTTTTTTCTTTTCAATGGCACATAGCAGGAGCTCTTTCCTAATGGCCTCCAGCCATTACCCTCCATCCGTACTGAGAAAAATGACCCTAAGGTACCGCAGAACAAGGCGCAGGCGACCCCTCTCTCTGATCACTCCTTGTGCCTCTGCAGAAGCTTCTGTCAGAAGAGAGGTTTGTATCCATGGAAACGGACTCTGATGAGAAGCAGCTGCTCGATCAGATCCTGAACGCCGTGAAAGTGACGCCGGCCCTCCACGAAGACCTGCAGGTGGAAGTGATGAAGGTCGGTTTGATGTGGCTACCAGTCTGCGTCATTGGCACAGGGACAATCTCTGACTGCCT